CAGTTAAAGAAGAAGGAATTTATGGAGTATTACCATATATGGCACCAGAAGTTTTACGTGGACAACAATATACAAAAGCAGCAGATATTTACTCATTTGGAATAATAATGAACGAATTTCTTTCTGAAGAAATTCCTTTTAATGATATTCCTCATAATGAATTTTTAGCTATTAAAATATGTAAAGGATTTAGACCAACAATTTCTAAAGACATACCAAAGTTACTTGCAGATTTGATAATAAAATGTTGGGATGCTGAAATAAAAAATAGGCCAACCACTAAAGAATTGTATCAACTATTAAAGAAATGGAATGTTGAGATTAAAAATATTAAAGATGGTAAAGATGGCGAAAATAGTGAAAATGGTGACAATAGTGAAATATATTTTCAAATAAAAGAATGTGATAAAATTAGTAAAGAAAAATTCAAAAACAGATTAAATGAAGATAAATCCAAAAGTTTCAAAACTCACCCACAAGCAATTTATACTAGTAGACTTTTAAATTTCAAAAATCTTCCAAAACCAGTAAATTCTTCAGATTTATCATCTTTTCAATTCAGTTCAGGTAATTAAATTTTATTTTGTTTTATCAAATAATTCATTTTACATTATTGATGTTATTTTATGTTTTAATAGATACTGCTCAATCAACATCAGCAAATCCAAGTAAGTATTCCCTTTATTATTATAATTATTTTATTTAAATTTACTAACATTTAAATACTATAAATACATAATATACAGTTTCAGAATGCTTAGATGTTCAATTAAGTGAATTAGGTAAGTTATTATTATTTATAATTTTATTGATATTCTATATCTAATTTATCTTTTTTTATAGAGTTAAATGAAATTTGTCAAGATGGTGAAGATAATATTGAATGAAGTTTCTTTTTATGTGAAAGTTAAAGTTAAATAAATTCGTGTATTGAAGTTAGTTTACTTTATAAATTTTTATAATATATAGTACATATAGATTTATCAGATTTTATATTTAAGAATATTCTATATAAATAAAGATTTTAAACATAAAACTGTAATACAGTAAGTGCAAATATTCCGCTCAATGTAGTGAAATTTCATTTGATTATATCATTTTACGCATAATAAATGGTTTTGGTTAATACTTAAGGTATAGACCAAGTTAACTAAAATTCAATTTTTTTTCATTTATCTGTTATGTTTATATTTTATAACTTACAAGTGTGAAAAAACTTGTTACCGTATTTATTAATGTTGATTTTTTACAAAAATGGCTAAATGGAATACATGAAATACTCAAATACTACTTCTATTTACGCCATAATCTACAAATCAAATTTGAAAATTGGATTATATAAGCAGATCATCATCGGCTAAATTTTATAGATCGAAACCTTCGTCTAATTTAAAAATTGATAATTAATTCCGTTCTTCGTGTGAGAGCATCGTTTTAATCATATCTTAAAATTTTATGATAGATAGGCTTTTTAATATTGATAGATGTACGATACCATCAAAAGTTCAAAAATAAATTGAATAGTTTATGATATGACTATTTTAATTGTTAAAATTTTTCGTAATTTAAAATATTAATGATGAAATAATATAACAGATAATGAGAGATTGTCAGAAAAATTCGTTAGAAAAGAAATAAATTCAATTTATTGTAAATTAATAATTCGGGTATATTTTTTTTCACTAAACCGGATGGTTATATAATACAAAAATAGAATTTCACTTAAAACTGAAATTTTTTTTTCAATATTTTTTATTTTTTTTCAGATTTTTTTTTTTCACCATTTTTTTTTTACTAATGTAGTTTCCTTTATAATATATTTAATATATTGATTTTTTATTTAGACTTGAATCTGGATCAGAATGACGTTGCAGTATTACAGTAAGCACCTTTTTATTAATAATAATTTTTTTTCTAATTATTTTTCATTCTTTTTCAACTTTTAAGTTTGGATCAGTTGATGCGATGCTATATTAAGTGTCTTTTACTAATTTTTTTTTAATAATATTTTTTTTCTAATTATATTATCGTAGAGTAAAAACAGACAATGGCCTTTTCCTATTCGGTAGTCTGTCGTACTCCCTGAAATATAGTGTTGCAATTATTTTTTATATTTTTTAAAATAATGTGTCCCATAGACTCCCGGTTAAACGATCATCAAAACACTTGCAAAGTATACTCTTTTTTGGTTGTGATCAACACGAAAAGTTTGCCTGCGAATTTAATATCTTAGATTTTAGATTATAGATTTAGTAATAATAATAATGAATCCTAAATCTAAGAGTATAACGCTCACCCTCCCTCCTTATGAATGGATGGGCTATATATATTTTTTCTCCATTTTTTTTCATTTAAAAAAAAAAAGAAAAATTACGGGTTACTCTACGTATTACGCAATATTTACTTACGCAAATTACACAATTTACTTACGCAAAAAAAAATAAAAAAAAAGTACTTAAAATAATCAATATTACTTTATTTTACACAATATAAATTTATCAATTTATTCAAATCAACAAATCAAAAAAATTTTCTTCATTTTCTTCATATATAAAAAATTTTTAACATGTTACTCAACATATTATGCAATATTTACTTTAAAAAATTATTAAATAATATTGCGAGTAAGTTATTTATTTAATTCTATTATTACTTATTGTTATAATTTAATTTAAACTAACTAAATTCTTTATTTAAAATAATATAGCTTGTAAGTTATTTATTTAATTCTATTATTACTTATTTATATAATATTTACATATAATTTAAACTAACTAAATTCTTTATTTATAAAAATTATTTAATAATACAGCTTGTAAGCTATTTGCTATTTCTATTGTTATGTACTTTATAAATATTTATTTATTTAATTGAATCCTTTTATATAAAATTTCTGTTACTTTAGTAGCTATTAAACATGTCAATGACGTAAATCATTAATTAAAATGTTCATAAAGCTTCAACAAATAGTTTCACTGAACCTTCCTTGGATTTAAATAAAGTTCTATATTTCATTAAAAAGATAACTAAAAAGTGAAAAAATTTAAATCATGATCTCTTAAATGAAAATTGGCACCAAAAAATATTTGGCTAGATTAAATTCAATACGATATAATTTATTTCGTTTCTTGTGGTACAGTTATATTTCGTATTTCAAATTAATTATTTCCATTCAGAGTTTAGAGCTAATAATGAATAAATTAGTGACATTGAAATTTTCTATAATAATAAAATATTTAATTAAATTATAATTTGCAACTATCACCATTTTTAAAATTTCTTGATTTGTTATTACTTAATTATTCGATACATGAAAAATCGAAAAATTTGGATATCACAATTTGACAAATTTTTTTACGAGGTAACTTTCATAATTTTATTAATTATTCTTTAGTTACATTAAAAGTTTCAATTTCTTCAATAACATAAATTTCATTTGTATTTAAATTATCTTCATAATTATGACTTTCATTATGAGCGTATAAATATTGTTTTCCTGATACAAATGTTATGAATAATGAATTAAAACCGAAATTAAATCCGGTACTAGAATGATTATATATAGCCTTATAATGATTTATTATACGACTTATTTTCATATTTTGAATATCTTCATTATTTTCAAATGAAAAAATAAAATTATCTGAAGAATAATAAAATTTTTCATGATCATTAGAATCCATATCATTTTCATCCAAGTTAAGTCCAATAGAACTATATCCACCAAAAATTTTGTTTGATCTTTCAACTTTAATTAAAACCAAACTTTCTACTTGACCTTTACATTTGATTTTAAATGATTCTTTACTAATACCATCAAGACTACTACGATAAATAAGGTTAAACCTATAACGTGAATCATTAATTGTATAATAATCTTTTCTATCAATCCAATTAATAATTATATTAACAAGTTTTGGTTTAATTATTTCTGATTCAAAATTTCCTATTCTAGGTGGTAAAATTTTCGTTTTTGATAAGGTATATTTATTATTATTATAAAAATCTTCAAATTCCTTATAAATTTGATCGGGAATAATATTTTTATAAGGTTGAACTTTATCAAAAAATTTATCAGAAAAAATATCCACAAATCGAATAAGAGGAATAAATTGATTTAAAGTTTTCTTTAATGATTCATAATTTTCATTATTCCATTTGGTTCTATCATTATTCTCATTTCCCAAACTAGGGGTCTGTTCAATACCCCATTTGATTAAGTAATCCCAAGCAACAACTTCTTCAATCTGCAAATCATCTCGTTTAAGTAATTCATACAGAATATCCTTGTCTAGTGAGAGAAAATCATTTGTAGTAATAAATGAATCAAAATTTTTACAAATAGATTCAAAACAATAATCTTGCAATTTCTTACAACCAGTAAGTTTAAACGCAGTACGGAAAATAAGAGTAAAATTATTTTTAATCCATTTATTTGGTTTTACAATTAAATAATCTTGAATATAATTACATAATTCTTCAATTAATAATTCGTCTGATGCAATTAGTAATCCAAGAATGTCTTCACACGATTGTTTAGTCAAATTAAGTTCACCAGTATAAATATATCTTATAATAAATAAATAAAATTATATTTTATAATGTTATTTTTACTATGAAATGAATTATTTGAATGAAAAAATTTATTCATACCTTAAAATCATGTCAAAAACATTCGGAGTAATATTTGATTTATTAAATATGATCATGTCATTTTTCTTTGTAATCCAACAAGATGAAAGAGCACCTTTGAAATAAGGAGAACGAGCACGTAAAATTACTGAATGTGCACGAAATTCTTTTGTATTGTTATTCTCGCCTACTTGAATAATAACATTATAATCATCAGCATCATTTAATATTAAGGAAAGGTCTTTCGAAAGGTTGGAATGAAAAAATGAAGTCATTTTAAGAATGGAGTTATTGTCAATGAATTGAAATTTATATATAGTTATACAAAATTGGGTTCATTGAAAGTTTTAACTAGGAAATGATCGATGTTCCCGTCCCGTGTGACACTTCCGAATTATTCGCTAATTGCTTTAATTGTTTGCCTTACGCCCTTACTATAAATAATATAATTGACAGCACCTGTTGCAGAATCTATGATGACGTCAGCGGAATTGTGTATTACTCATTATATTAATTATGTATTTGGCTATTTGCTCTCAATTTAAAATAAAAAAATAATTTTGTTAAGTGTCAATAGTACATAATTATTTATATTTTATATTGCGTGATTGTTTAAAAAAAACCTTTTACATTAATGCTCACCTCCGGCCTTGAACCCAAAGGTCCACAATCCTCCGGCAAAAGAATCGAATAAATTATTTAGCAAGTTTGAAATTATTTCGGTAAACATTCAGATGGCATTATTTTTCTTGTATTTTTATATAAATGTTGTTGTTTTAAGCTATATTTTATGAATTTTTCTTTATTAAATTAAGACCCGTAGTCAATTTATTATCAAGATTATATTATACAGTATATAATTACTATATTATATGAATACATGACGAGAAAAATAGAGAAACTATTATATAATCTAAATTAATCATGTGCAAAGATTACTATTATGATAATTGTAGACTAATTAAAGATTGTACAAAAAGTATACAAGGATGCGAAAGTAGTATTGAAAAATAAAAAATATTACCATCTAATAATTTAACGGTTTTTTAAAATACTGTAACTGTTTTTAATGATAAAATGTTTTGAAAAATAAGAGTTTAGAATCGTAGTTAATTTGTGTAAGTTCACCTTTTTTTAAAAAAAATATCTTGTTTTGTGAACAAAAAATTCCGATTTTTGCCGGAGCGAAAGCAAAGGACTACTTTTTGGAATTGGTGTACTGTTGATCGTCACGTGGGTCATACTCTGATTGGAACTGGCGGAATACCAATTAGTAACCAGGTGATAAAATACGACAGGCAGTCTGACTTTAAAAAACGCGTGATATTTTCGATAACTACAACGCGTTTTGTAAATAATTATTATGTAATTATAACGCCAACGCCAACTTTCATAAGCTTAACCAATCAGAATTTGAGGATAATACAATATATATATCCTATCTATGCGAAAATTAAAAATATTCAAGCCTTTTTTATTTATTTGCTGGCAATATAAAAAAAATGGCTTATCAACGTACTATTCTTCCGCTCTATTACAACCCAGGCCTTTCACCATGCAGCAGGACTGTATGGTTTCTTACTGGGTTTCTTTTTGGTTCTTTGGTTGTGTTGGCCTTTGGAAGGCCATCACTTTTTTATGATTTCTTTAATTTTCTTTTTACTTTATTTTATTTAGTTTTAGATTTTTACAAATCAGAAACTGGACAACAAATAGTTATTTATATCAAAAAACTATACAATAACTATTCGGACTTCTGCTCTATAAGGAACTTGAAAGAACTAATGGAAAGGGGAGATCACATGGTACCTTCCCTTTTCATTTGGATTTTTCAAGAATATCCTGAATCAGCTGGACGTTTTTTCAGAAGGTTTGATCTGATTGTACTTAATGTGATATATAAGAAAATATCAGATTACCTTTTGGATTGTGTATGTACTAATTTTAATATTTATATTTAAAATTAATTAATCCATTAAATTTATTTTATTTGCTTTTATAGGCAGCTGATTTCTTACTTCCTAACTGGATATTTCTCAAAGACTGGATGAGGGGTATGGCTAAAAAGGTAATGATTTATGTATATACTAAATTTATTATTTCTCGCATTTTTTCTTCTAGGTTACCAAGTATTTTTAGAAAGCATAAATTAACTCCTGAGGACATGGTTTAAATGTATCCTTTTCTTTAATAGAGCAGAATTGTCCAGTTTCTGATTTTTTTTTATTTTATTTTGCCTATTATTCGTTTGATACCTGGCTTACGATTGGGGCAGCATCCAGGAAATATTTAATTTTGTTATGTTAAGGAATGTATTATTTATTATTGTACTGTATTTCGAAGGATTAGGGGTTGGACACTTCAAATTTTGATTTTTGGAAGTGACAGAATATGGCGAGAGTAGGGGCCATATTCAATAGTTTTTGAATTAATAAACAGTTTCCTAAGTGTATTAAAAATGTTTAATTATTTTTGAGTGATCAAAAAAAAAAAAATTCATATATTGATTCGAATTATAAAGTTGAAATATACAATATAATTGAAGGCAAAGAAATCGCACAAATAAGTACCAATGCATAATGAGCATCTATGAATATTTTTTTTTTGAGTGAAACATTAAAGGTATGAAGCTTAAAATTTTCTTGTAAATCCTATTTAGAGTGAATTCAATTTATACATTTGTTATAATGACTTCTGAATGAAAACAATACATTTATTCTTTAGAAGACGTGAAATTTTTTCATATAACGCAATATTATGGGAGGATCTCACAATAGAAGTCTTTAAAGAAAATCCTATAATTTCTTTAAATTACGAATTATATAAGTTTTTGTTTCTTGGAATTATCATCTTGGTGATCTAATGTTTGTGAATTAAAGAATGCTATTAATCCAGCATCTTGATGATTATTTCTGCTAGGTACATTATCTGCGTGTAAAACATCTCTATGTATTTAACTCCAAAAGCCTTTCAAGGAATGCTAGAGGGTAATTCAACAACTATCGCCAAAATGGTTGCTTGTTCCATAATATTTAATTCATTGTTTTCATCGATGCAGAAACAATAATTCTTCAGCCATAAATTATCAGAAACAATTAATTGATAATAATTACGTTCGGGCGAATCTTCAGGGGAAGATAAATCAGGAGTATGATAATATAAAACATGGTCACGGGGTTTTAATAAATCCTGGATATAATTTTGAGGAATGGTCCAAGAACCTGCCACTCTACGATCATCATGTATAATAAGTCTTTAAGTTGTTTATTATTATAAATATCTCTATTTTTAACAACTTCCTGACTGAGATCAGCTTCAGTTGCACCTTGTTTAAAAACCAAAAATTTTTTTAACATCATCAGCAGCCCAACGATCAGCTAGCTCTACTTCTAATTATAATTTTATCACAAGCAGAACTCTCGTCATTTGAGGTTCATGAGTTATAAGTAGGGATGGCAACGGTCGGTCACGGTCAGTTATCGGTCGGTCATAACCGGTTATGGGTCTTTGACCGACCGACCGTTTTTGCTGACCGTTTTTCTGACCGTTTAACCGACCGTTTAACCGACCGTTTAACCATTTTTTTTAGTGAATTTAATTAAGAAAAAACGTTAAAAAGTTTTTTTTTTGATTAAATCCGCTAACAAAAGCATTATACAACTTTTTTTATTGATTCAGCTCATAAAAAAAGTGTTTAATGAATAGGGTTGGTTAAATGGTCAGTTAACGATCGGTTAAACGGTCGGTTAAACGGTCGGTCAAACGGTCGGTCAAAACCGGTCGGTTAAACGGTCGGTCAGAGCCTTTGACTGACCGATATCGGTCACGGTTATTAACCGGTCATGACCGGTTATGACCGTAACCATTGCCATCCTTAGTTATAAGAGCATTTGGAGGTAGATGCCAACCTTCACCTAAGAAAGTCTGAATTCAGATACTACACGACACACGCAATTTTTCCAACAAAACCGAAACGTTATAATTTCTTCAAGCATGTTAGAATAGAAGGTTATTGGATGTAAAATAGTATAAATCATCATACAGTATATTACGGGCATTGATCCTTACATTGAAAAAGGCCGTAATAGATCTTTGAAAAAGGAATTTGCTACCAGCTTCTATATCTTGAATTTGTTTCTCAAAGATGTCATTTTCTGCCCGTTTTCGCTTGATAGACTCCGTCGATATATATATATATTTGATGCCTATCAGTACTATTTTTTTAAATTATTAGCATTTTGACAATCAGAATTACATTTACCAATTCCTCATCATAAATGTTGATTGTAATAATTCTTTCATTAACGAGTTGTGATGCTCTCAAGCTTTTAATCTAATATTTTTTAATAAAGGATATTTTTGATATGTAATACTCCGCAGCACGTCCAAATGGTACACTACCATCTTCATTATATTTTATAAGATGATCGTAGCTTTCCATTGTTTAGTCATTAAAAAATGAGCATCAAGAACGATACTTAAAATTATGAGTAACCTTTAATAATGAATGGTTAACAAAATTTGGTTTTAGAATCTAATAAAGTGAAAAGTGGATGCCGACTTTTAAGGTTCTCGTTTTACATACATGGCGCAGTAATGATAATAGGATTTACCCAGCAAGCGTATCAGAGATGGGAAAGTTCCAACAGAGCGGTTCCGAACTGTTTCTGGAACCGATTCTAATTTTAGCAGATTCTGAACTTGAAACACTCTGCGAACTGTTCTAAAAATCGAATTGGGTCCAAATTGGGTTGCCATCTGCCATCAAAATTATGACGATCACGGACCACCCATCATTTTGATGACCAATCAAAATTTTTCTAATCGACGATCTTCATCAAATGCTCTACCTGCGTCTTAAATTTGATGATGTAGCTCATATTTTACTTAATGAGAACTGAAGCGGAACCGACGAAGAACCGAAATAGAACCGACGAACTGATCCCATCCCTACTTGTATCACTTAGGAGATATTACATGATTATTATGTATTGATTGTTGGTGAATTTACGCATTTTAGATCATGATATGAAAATGTAAAAAATTCTTCATATTATTAATTATCTGTATTTATATATATATATATATTAGTCTATTTTATTAAATAAATGATATTTACAATGAAAATTTTAATAAATAAATTTAAAAACACTCGAATGAAATCATATATTAAACCCATATATTATTAAATTATTGGTAACGGCATGTTGAATGTTATTTTTTGATTCATGTTTGCTTTGCAATATATGATTATTTGACATGGCAATTAATTAAACATCAAATACACAAAATTGAATCATTTTCAAACTGATATTTGGTCAGGTAATGAAAATTTATTTTTTACCTATGATTCATGATATGCAAAGATATATTACGCTATTTTAGTAATATAAATGATCTAAATATAGTACGTTTGTCAAAGTTTTTTTCATTGAGCATTTTTTTTTTAATTTATTGTATACAAAAAAAATGAAAATTTTTCTTGTAATCATATTAAGTATAATCAATTTCAGTATTGTAAAGTTTATGCCATTTATGTTACAATATTAAATGTATATTTTATATCATATTTTAATATCTTTCGTAATAAATCTTGACATATTTAATATCCAGAATCAATTAAAAAAAAATATCAAACATCTTGATATGTTTAGATTACCAATGATTTTTTTTTCGAATTATTATTCAATTACAAACTGATTTTATTTATGTAAAAACATAAGTTTACATGTACTCTATAATCAGTGTTGAATAATATAAATAGATATATATATACTAAAATAAAGAAATACTACGGTAAATTAGAAAAAAATAAGAATATATTATAACATATAATTCTCATGCAAAAATATTTTTAATTTTGACAATTCCTTTCTTATCTGTTATTGTTCTACTCATCTGTTAATCTACATAAAGGATTTAGTTTCAAATTAATAAGTAAATAAAATCTCATATCAAAAATTTGCTAATACTTACTTTGTAAAGTCAATAACTTCTATTGTATTATTGTCAATATTATCATATTTTGGTAGATTTTTTGTAAAAGGATTAAGTAATCGAGATGTATAAATAGCTTGTGCATGAGTTAATTGTCTATTTTTTTTTAGAAAAGGAAATATGTAACATTCTGTATTTTTCTGCTTCATTAAATCGTGTATGTCTAAATGAATTAATTAGTTCATAACATAATATAACATTTTGGTGCTACTGGTTCATTTTATTTCAGGTCTAATTCCATCACAAATATTTAATACTAAAATTTCATCATGTGCACAATTAGCAAAAGGTTGTCTTCCAGTTGCTATAAAATACATAATCATGCAAAAGCTATATATGACTGCTGCTTGAGTATAAGGTTTTCCCTTTAACACTTCAGGTGCTATATAAAGTATAACTCCATAAATATTACTTTGATTGACAACATGAACTTCTTCCCATATCTGAAATAAATATATAAATATGAAATCTAACATCATATACAGTATACACAGTGAAATTCAATAAACAGGATTTGGGCCTAAACCGGACTTTTTTGCTGAAACAAAATCACGCATATTAAAATAGTTTCGATATACCGGAGTTTACTAGTAAAAGCTATAACGGATCAAAAATGATTTGATAACCCGGATCATGTGATTTGATACATTTGAAAACCAATTAAATTGATTCACGTGATACAGATAATCTGTGGCCAGCAGGGTAGATTAGAAGATTTTTTTTCAAATTTAGTTGTTTTTAGTATATGCAATATTTTGATAAATTAAATAGAGATTTTTTAAGTTTTTTAATTTTTGTTACGTTCGCATAAAAATTTGATATACCGGATTATCACATGATTTTATGAAATCCGGTATATCGAAATTTTCGCTATACTTGATATCCGATATTTTTAGTGGAACCGATGGATCCGGTTTGTCGAATTTCACTGTATATATAATTCGTATTTAGTAGTACATTTCCTGCATGAAAATCATATGTTCTTGATGAATTGCTTTAAGACCTTTTATAACACCAAACAATAGATCCCCTTTAACATCCCATGTAAAACTATTGCTATTATAATTTTTATTTATCCAAATATTACAACTTCCACCTTCTGCATAGTCAAGAACAATGATGTAATATTTTGTATCTGGATTTTGAGATATACCATATATTCAATAATATTATCATTATGATAAAAATCATCAGTATCAAAATAATTGAATATTTTTTTAATATATTAAAAAAAAAATTGTCCGGAGCGTAGTGAAGGACTTTCTATTATAGATTTTCTTTTTTGATTATGTAACACTTTTTACTTGTAAGGAGTTATAACACATAATCTCAATTTTTTGTATCACTGATAATATTTTTTGTTTTTTTTTTCGCAAGAAAAAAGAATTATTAAAAAAAATGATAATCTGTTTTTGTTATATAAAATCAAATAACGCGACAAGACTTCAACGGTTTCCTAGTTCGATATTTAGCAATTCGAGTTTCTATAACATAATTATGTGAAAATTTGTATTGTTGTGCAGGCCTTATTAGTCTTATTACTGGACAGTTTTTCGTTCATATTATTTGTGCTAGGATAAACACCTTTTTCAATAATATAATTAAAGTTAGGTTTAATGACTTACATTTTCTAATGGGTAGAATAATTTTAAAATTAGATGACATTATTTTTTGTGGCGCCTTTGTATACTTTGTGTATATTGTGTAATTGTGTAATATATTTTAAAACTATTTAGTTGTTAGTCATTATATATAATTATATAATAGTTATGCAAAAATGATTTATGGAAGTTTCTAGTAAACAATATGTTTTATTGTAGTTGTATATATTACAAATATGTATTACGTAGTAAAATGTCAAAATTGTTATTCACATTAAGTTGGTAGTACAATACTCAAAAATCAATCATTAATGGGATTTTGTTACATATAAATTATAAATCACGTGATATTAGTTTTTTGCCACTATGAAAATATGAAAAATTTTTTGTGTCTTTCCGATATTCTTAAAAAAGATAACTTACAAGTTAAGGAGATTAATATTTGGAATTATTTAATTAAATGGGGTATTAAACAAACTCCTGGTCTTGGGAGTGAGAATAGTGATAGAACAAAATGGAATGATAAGAATTACAAAGAACTAAAGAAAATTTTAGATCCGTTCATTCCACTTATTCGGTTTATGAGTATTTGTCGCACAGATTTTTTTAATCAAGTTCGACCATATAGGGCTATTATCCCTAATGATATTTACGAAGAAATTGATGAATAATATTATATAAATACCTTACCAAAAACTAAAATTTTACCAACTAGAGCAGGTAGAATTGATTCAAATATTATCAAGGAAGAACTTATAAATATATTTGCTAATTGGATTGATAATAAAAATGCCATGGACATTCGTACTGGAAATGATATATTTTATAAATTTAGTCTTATTTATCGTGGTAGTCATGATGGAATTAGTAATATATCGTTTATAAATAAATGTAATCATCGAGTAGCAACTTTAGTTTTAATTAAGGTTTTACAATCGAATGAAATCTTTGGTGGATATGCTTCTTTTGGACTGTTAGGTGAAGATATATCAAATAACTTTGTTTTTTCATTTAAAGAAGGACAAACCATGAAAATAGGTCGTGCAAAAAAAGAACGTATTAGTTGGAGAGAAAAAGAAACATACGGATTTAGGTTTTGTGAATCAATGTATATGGATGATCGAACTTTATATCTTAGAAAGAATTCTTATTATTACGAGAATGTTTGTAAATCAAATACGTATACTATTGAGGAGATTGAAACTTTTATTGTGACTAAATAATACTTGCTTATTTACTATAAATAAATTTAGATGTTGTTGCGAGTTCTGATATGAAAATGTTTGAATTAACCCAAAAATAAATATGAATGAATTTAAGGTTTTTTGTTATCCAGTGTTTTTAATGCGCATTACGTTAATACATTAAGTAACTCATTTTATAATCCAACATCTTTTATTTAATCAAATGTGAAAGAAATATAATGCATAGCAAAGTTGTATATTCCTATCAAATTATTATTTTCTTCAACTCTTTTTTTCAAAGTGCCAACAGATATCCTGAGTATTATTGGATGGTCCGCGCCATTTGTTGTCTTCAGTGGAGTATGGAACGCCAAACATAAGGGAAAAACTTTCTTGATCATCAGGTACAAAAAAAATTAAAGCCTTTGTGCGATAAGACACTCGATAGTATCACACCCATTATGAACCCATGTATCCATACTGTTTTACCTATATATACAATTTATTATTATATCTAAACAATAATAATAATTTAAGAGAAATTATTGTTATGATTATTTCAAAATTTTAGTTTGAATTATATACAGTAACTTGAAATCCCATGCCTGCCTCAAAAACTATTTGCTCCGTGTGCATTCCAATCAACTAATCCAATTTCAGTTATCATAATCGGATTTTTTTACATATTTAATTGTTCAAATATTTTTCCTAAGTTGGTTATAAGTTTAAGATTGACGTAATATAAAATAATAAGAAATAATTTATAAAATTTATAATCTATATAATATAATAAAAATATTTGTAGTATTTTCATAGTATTAAAGTTTTCGAAATACTTCTAAAAAAATTAATCAATTTTTATTGATAATTATTTTTCATAATTCCTTAATTAATCCGAATTTCATTTTACACTCAAACGTCAAATCATTAATATAAATAGCTACATTATTGTAAACGTCGCCTGGGGTTTTTGTCACATGATGTAAAATATATAAAGGGTAAATTTATTAATCGGCTGATCGGCTAAAACTTTTATCGCAAAAAAAATTTTTTGCAAACATATTTATCCAAAATAATCTTATCTAATGAAATTTATTTGCAAATATTAAAATTTAAATCACACATTTACGATTTTAAAGAAAAAGATCACTGTATTTATTTTTTAATGAAGTGATACAAATAAAAGAAAAAATAAGTAAATTACAATGATCAAGAAAAAAGATGTTAAAATAACAATAGAGTAATGAAAAGTAATAGAAGATGAAAGGGAGTAAAAAAGAGTAATGTGAAGTGATAGGAAACAAAAAGGAGAAATAGGACATGATGGGAGATGAAGAGGAGTGATAGGAAGATGGAGAGGAGTGATGGGAGATGAAGAGGAATAATGAGAGGATGAAGAGGAGTGATGGGAGACGAAAAAGAGTGATGTGAGACAAAAAGAAGTGATGGGAAGATGAAAAGGAGTGATGGGAGATGAAAAGGAGCGATGGGAAGATGAAGAGGAATAATGAGAGGATGAAGAAGAGGAATGATGGGAGACGAAAAAGAGTGATGGGAGACGAAAAGGAGTAATGGGACTATGGGAGACAAAAAGAAGTGATAGGAAGATGAAGAGGAGTGATAGGAGATGAAAAGGAGTGATGAGAGACAAAAAGAAATGATAGGAGAGAAAAGAAATAATGAAAAATGAAAAGATGTAATAGAAAATAATGGGAGACGAAAAGGATGGAATAATGAGAAGTAACAGGAGGTGAAAAATGATGAGAGACAAAAAATAAAAAGATGATCATGATAGGAGGTTGGGTAGCAAAAGAAAATGATAAGAAACCAGGTAAAAAATAAACCATAAAGTAAAAAAAAATGAAGTTAGTAAGGAACGAAATATAAGTTAGAAACAAAATAAAAAAACATACTTTTAATAAAATTAGTTAAAAACGAAATATGAAACAGAAACAAAATAAAAAAAATAAAAAAATAAGAAACGAAATGTAAAGTGAAAATAACTGAACCTTAATTGCAGAACGGGAAGAACTAAAGGACCTAAAAATAATTAAGAAACAAAGTGTAAGAATGTAAGTTAGAAACAAAAATAAAAAGAAAAAAAAGAAAACTGAAGTACCTCGAGATTGAAAAGAACCGAGGAAACGAACCTCGAACCTATAATGAAAATGAGATTCGATAAGCAAATAAACATGACGCGATCATGTGGCCAATATGGCCAATCAAAGGCGATGTTTACCAATTCCCAATATAATTTATTTATATCATTCTAATATTTATAATTATAATTTAATACATATTATTTTATTAAAATTTGTTAACTAATTATTACTTATATTAATTCCTAATTATAAATAAAAAACTGCTGTAATCATCTTTAATTTACTTAGTATTACATTATAATACTAAAATTTTCTATTTAAACAAACTCATTGGTCCCGGTGCGGTAACTGCTAGTATTCACTAAAATTTAACAATGTAGTTTTAATAATGTATTTACGAGATATTTAGAATATATTTATTAAATTTTATAATTATTTTATATAATATATTTTACTAAATTTTATTGATATGGTTAAGAAGTTAAAAATTTTTCTTTAAAGTTGTAATAAATTGGATTGATTGAAAAATTGATCTGCGATCGCAGTAACTGCGTGTAGTAAAAAGTTAATATACACACAAATATATTTGTCGATAATCTGATTGTTGATAAATTGAATCAAACAATCAGTAAAAGAGGATAAAAAAAAAATTTTAAATGGAATAAACTTTTATCATCGCCTATTTACCGAGTAGATATAAACCGAGTATAAAAAGGAAAAAATAAATCGAAAATAAACGTAAAATTTGTAGTACAAATATAAAGCCGCTTTATATATATACATTTGCCGATTATGAAGCATTATTGGATTTGCCAACAACATTTAAGTCTTGCCATTGCATTAGAACCACGTATCGAAAGTATCAAATATGATCATTCTTAATAGTAATTAGTAATTCCATTATTCAGTTTTTTTTTGAAATTTCTTTTTTATCCAGGGTTTAATTTTTCCCTCTTTATAATATATATAGTAATATTTTTTTTCCTATTTGCTTTTTTTGTTCGTTCTTTCACCTTTTAAGTTTAGGACGTAAAGAATAAATAAAAATAGATTTATTTATAAAGTTTTGCCCCATGTTATTAAGATGACTAATTTAAATTATATAATAATTAGTATAATTAATAATTATTTTAATATTGTTCTTTTTTATTATTAGTTATTATAATTTATTTTATTTAGTATATTTTCCTAAATATATTTCAGAATTTTCATTAATACTGTTGCAATGCACTAGGTAACAGCTAATTTATTATTAATTTTATTACATGTAGAATAAAATAAAATTTATTATAAAGATATTTGGCATTATTTGTGTAAAAAAAAGCTCGACTTCGATAAGATTCTTCTATCAAACATGATTTAATGAAAAAATAAAAAACAATCAATTAATTTGATTACTTCCTGATAAACAATAAAAATTTTTATCAAATGACTTTCGACCAAAAGTTGTAGATTTTTTTGGTCCCGAAAAATTATGAAAAAATTTTATTTTTTTTTGAACCAATTACTTCCTTCAAATGACAAAAAAAAAAAAAAAAAATTAGTTTATGTAAGAATAGTGCAAGATTATGCAAGTTTCTCATAGAAAATTGCGGGTAAAAATTACAATCAAGTTGCATATTCAAATTTTATAATTTTTGGTTTTAAATTAATGAGTGCATGAAATTAATAATTACATACTCTGAAGTTTTCTTTTATAAGGAATACATCTTTTATTATAATAAATTTTTATGAAAATTCTCTTATTTATAACTCTTGTACAATACAATTCAAACATAATTGTACGACTAATTTATTTAAGAAATATTTTAATTGTGTGGTAGATTTTTCATTTTGACGTGTACATAATACTTACGTTACGCTTGTTTGTGCATTTATTCCTCTAAATATTTATACATAAATTAATGGTATTGTGTAATGTTTATTTTTCCTTTTACTTGAAAAAATATTTATATCAAAGAAATTTTTTAGTCATATTGCATAAAGTTTGATATTTAAGATCACGTGATCTATGTATGATGTGACCTTCGTGGGAGCACAGAGACACAACATTCTTGCACTACGTTACGATGACCATGAGCTCGTTCAAATTAAGAAGTTCATAACTTTATATAACTTTAACGTTTTTACCTTAAAATCATTTTTTTATAATTATCCTTTTATTATTAAACTTTAAGTATAAACTGAATCAAAGTTTTGTAACAATGTCTAGTAATACTAAATTTAATTCAAATGAGTGGATTGATTGGATTGAAGAAGCTATTGCAAAAAAGCACATTAAATATTACGATTACAAGCATTTTAATAATATTCAAGAAATTGGTTTTGGAAATTTTGGAAAAGTATATCGTGCTAACTGGAAAAGTTTTTGCAATCATTTAGCATTAAAATCTTTCTTTAATTTCAATAATGCTACAGTTAAAGAAATTGTTAATGAAGTAATTATAACTTTATGTTGACATTTTATCATTTTTTTTTGTTTTTCTATCTTTAATTATATATTACGTTTCTAACTTAAAATTTTATTTCAATATTAGATTAATCTTCAGCGCAAAATTGATTTTCATGAAAACATTATTCGTTTTTGTGGCATTACAACAGCAGGTATGATATGTAATTTGAATCATTATTATCTTTTTTTTTTTTTAAAAAAAAAAA